CATTATAGGGTATAAAGAATGTCTGCTATACAGCAGCATTTAATAGTTGATTTACAGGGGGGGACGGTGTGGAGGGATCAGTACAACATGAAGCACGTCAGCACCTACTTTAGACAATATACTCTATATTACAGTAAATACATCACTAGAATGGGCATAAAACATATTGTTACCTTTTCAGAAAGAAAAAACCAAAGTTATCTATTATGTAATTAAAATAAAATGCTGCATGGTGGGAAAACTGGAGTTCAGAGTAAAAAGGCCTCTGTCACTTTTGAATTCCACCTCTGTCACTTTTTTTAAAATATTTTTTTAGATGTTGATGGATCTTTATTTTATTCATTTATTTATATGTGGTGCTGAGAATCGAACCCAGGGCCTCACACATGCTAGGCAAGTGCTCTACCACTGAGCCACAACTCCAGTCCTACCACCTGTCACTTTTTAAGAGACTACAATAACCTTAGGTAAATTTCTCCACCGCAGCCTTCTCATCTGAAAAATAAATAAGTCAGAACACCAGCTGATCTGTCATAGGTCATGGTCAAGCTCTAAATATTCTATGACTTTGGCCTCCAAAAATACTTTCAAAACTTAGCCTAGTTGAGCTGCACTGGCAGAGATGTTTTTGCTGCTGTTTGTTTTCACAAGGGCAAAATTTAACGCATCTTCTCTCCCCAGATAGACTCCTATTTCTGCTTTGGCTTTACTCTTTCTAAAGGTTGGGTCAATCTCCCTTTACCAAGATGCAGACCCCTATTTGACTCTTTGCATACCTATCAGCTGCCAAATCCCAGGTTCAACCTCCTCAGAATCTCATACTCTTTCACCTCTTTTCTTTTTGATTCTTACTTGTTTTCTTTTCAGTTATATGACAGTAGAATCCATTTTGATATGCTTATACAAACTCGAAATATCTCATTCTAATTAGGATTCTACTCATGTGGATCCACCTCTTTTCTATCACTTTAATCCCAGTCTTCATCACTCCTTGCCTAGATCACTAATTATCTCCCATAAATACCTGGATCTCCAATCCCAGCCTAGAGTTTTCTATCATATTAGTACTTTGCCAAAAAGCATGCAATGCCTCCCTATACATGAAAATTCATAACAAATTTCTCAACCTGAATTCAAGAACCCCACATCTCAACCAGTTTGCTATGAATGTCTTATCCAAAAATCCAACTGAACTACTATTTTCTGCTACATCAGATTCCTTTGTACTTACTGGATTTTGTGCCTTTTACTTCTGTGTTGTTCTTACTCTACCCCGTTCTCTTTTCAAAACTGATTCTGTTATTTTAAGGTCCACTCTAAGGGTGATCATCTTCATCTAGAAATTACAGCTCCCTCTTCTGAGTGCACAGGATGCTGACATATGACAATTTTAATTACTGACAGTGAATTTTAAAAGACAATTTACCTAGCTAGTAAATTCAATTAATCCCTTGTGCTAATTTTGTTTAACTGACATCAGATACCTGGCATACTGTCTTGAGAAAGATTTACTGCTTAGCAGGGGAACAGGAAAGAGTGACATATCTTTGACATTCAGAAACCAGTTTCCAAACTGGAGCTTCACATAACAGAGTTTGGGTTCCTGGGTATTAAAGACGTTTAAATGAAGTCAACAATTAAAGGTTTGGACTTGCCATGTCAAAAATCCGAACAAAGTTATACAACAGTGATTCACAATCAGGCTTGATTTCAGCCCATCTCCCAACCCCATGGACCTTTATAAATGTCTGGAAACAGGTGAGCACACGGCACACGCCTGTGATCCCAGTGGCTTGGGAGGCTGAGGCAGGAGAATCACAAATTCAAAACCAGCCTCAATATCTCAGCAAGGCCCTAAGCAACTCAATGAGATTCTGTTTCTAAATAAAATATTTTAAAAAGAGCTGGGAATGTGGCTCAGTGGTTAACACCCCTGGTTGTTCAATCCCCAGTGCCAAAAACAAGTCTGGAACACCTTTGAGCATCACACACACTGAGCAGGGAGAACTACCAGCTGAACATCCTATTACACCCAGAACAGTCCTCACAACGAAGAATTATCTGACCCACAAGGTCAACAGTGTCCAGGTTGAGAAACTCTGGTCTAAACATACTGCATGCATCTATGGGTTTTGCTTCACAAAAGAAATTTTCAAATTTTTCATAGTGAAGAACCATTTCTTCAAACACTAGTGGTTTGGCCTCCTGCAAGTTATTTAATCTCTTTAAACCTCAATTTCTTCATCCGTAAAACAGGGTAAAAGCCAGGCACAGCGGTGTACCCTGTGATCCCAGTGACTTAGAAGACTGAAGCAGGAGGATCACAAGTTTGAGGTCAGCTGGCACCAGCAACTTAGCAAGACCACAGCAACTTAACAAGACCCTTTCTCAAAATAGAAAAGATTGTGGACATAACTCAGTGGTAAAGCACCCCTGCATCCATTCCCTAGGAGCAAACAGATAAATAAAAATAATAATAATGATTATTACTATTACCACCTACCTCATGGGGCTTTTCAAGGAGATGAATCCATGCATGTCAAGTCCTTAGACAAGTACATCAGGCAGAGGGTGAGCATTCAACAAGTCTAGAACTTACATTCTTCCCCTATCTAATGCCCAGTCCAATGTTTTAAATACAGAAGATGCTCAATAATCGTTCCCTAAGTGAATACAAAAACCTGACTTCCTGGGGACAGCCCTAAGGGGTAAAGACAGATGTATTCTTTTTTTTTTTTTTTTTAATGTTTTTATAGTTGAGCACAGTATCTTAATTATTTATTTTTATGTGATGCTGAGGATGGAACCCAGGGCCTCACACATGCTAGGCAAGTGCTCTACCGCTGAGCCACAACCCCAGCCCTGACGAATGTATTCTTGTTTGGGGAAAAAGGAAGCATTTGCCACCTAATAACATCTCTCCCCACTTGGAACACATTTAACTCAATCTTTTTTTCCCCCTTTTCTTTTTCAATACTGGGGATTAAAGCCAGGGCCTTGCACATACTAGGCAAACACGCTACCACTGAGCTGCATTCCTAGCCCTCAGAACATCTTTAACCTTTTAAGAATTGGAAGCACTGCCTTAAAAAACATCTCATCGATACTTGTCTTTTCTTTTCACACCTTCTGACCAACTGAGGATCCTCAAACCTGTGAATGGACTGGTATCTCCTGATCCCTATATCTTCTGTCTTGTGTTAGTTATTTATGTACTTATTATAGTTTTCCTACTAGTTTATACATGCCCTGTGGGCATGGACAACATTTGACTCCTTTTTATATAACTCAAGGGGCCTAAAAGACCTTAACAACTGGCTGGCCCAAGCCTCTCATTTTTATAGATTAGCCACAGAGAGGACAAGTGACTTGCCAAGAGTCAAGGTCATATTTCAAGTGGCAGAACTCAAATTCGAACTCAGATAGACAGCCAATACAAAGTCTCCAAGTTCTGCCCAATTGTAACAGCATATGAAAATTATACCTGTGGTACAATGTTCAACTTAAGTCCCAGGACACTCTTATAGGAACTAGACCTATATATGGTTACCTTGCAAAACAAAAATTAGAAAGGGAAATAGACCCATATCCCAAGCTCCTTTCTGCCGCTGAAATCATACCTTACCAACTCAACCTGTTTTCTTTAATTCTGTATCTTACTATTTAGTGACTTTTTGACAACAAAACTTGTTTAAATGTTTGACAACTATTATTTAATCAGAGACATCTGGCTTAATTTCCTCTAAATTATTATTTTGAGTAACAAAATCTCTTAATGGATAAACCAATGATGCCCATCCTCTGCTAACTGAACATTCTTTAACCATCATCTGATCAGATTAATGCTTATAAACCTCAAAAATCTGGAAATTTAGGCTAGTTCTATAAGGTGAAACATCCAGATAACTTGAATTGTGAGTGTAAATAATCCCAACATAAGCCTAAAATTTACAATAATCAAGCATAAAGCACACACTAAGACCCAAGATCCGAGAGATTTTATTTTACTATGTTCAAGTGAAAGCTGTTCACATTTTCTCAGGTAGATCATGAAATTTCTCTCAATGTCCCAATATGATGCAAAAGAAAAAGGTGAATAAGAAAGGAAAAGATCGTTAAGACAATGTGGATGAGAAAAAGAGTTAAACACAGTGTAATTCCCTGAAGCTGAAGCAATTACAGTTCAATAAAGCCAAACATGACCATAAAGCAATCATTAAAAAAAAAAAAGAAAAAGAAAAAGAAAGAAAAACCTTCCTCTGCGGTGATGCTTTATGTTACCAGTGCAAAAGCATTCAGGCCCAATAGGACCGATTACCACTGACTGAGAACAGATCTTTAATTATTTTACCAGCTGATTAAAAGGAAAAAGAAAAAAAAAAGCGCATACACACGGACACAAAACGTAGTGTCAAAGGAAAACAAACGCAGTTTATGCTTGGTAAAGTTCAAGGGCAAAACTGTTTCCAATGCAACAGAATCCGCCTGACTACAATGTGTTGGAAGAGGAAAAAAAAAATGCGAACACATAGTATCTTTTTATAAAGGCAACAATTTGAGCTACAAAGTAATAACGGGGAAGCCAAAACAGTTTGACAGCCCGCCATAAGGGCCGCCTCAATCATGAGTCACACAATGCCTGCAACCATTTACAATAGTAATTAATGCACAAGTCCCCTAATTAAATCCTAAAAGGGTGAGAATGCTTTAACTAAGTTTACAAGAATTGCTTTTTTTTTTTTTTAAGAAAGGCGCGCGCGCACGCACACACACACTCACACACTTACACTCACACACACATACACGTAATTACGCATCTCCCCGCAATCCTTCCATCCAATATTCCCTCGGGCCGTTTTCTCCCGAATGTCTGTGCTCCTGGCGTGCGAAGGAAAAATGACCAGGGGGGGGTGGGGGGACTTGTAAACCCAGGAAGGACGAACCCGAGTGGCCAGAGCCGAGTGGAGAGGGGCGGGAGACGGAGAGCTCGCCCATCTTACCTGCTAAGATTTCTTTCTACGTCTTTGGTAGCTTTAGCTTCCAATTCTCTGAAACAGAAAACAAACACACATACACACAAAAAATAAAATAAAATAAAACAACACACACACGCACGCACAAACAAACACCGAGATGCGCGTGAAAACCGAGCTGCTGCTGCTGCTGCTGCTGCTGCTGCTGCTGC